AGGAAAATAAAAATGAGTACTAATTCAGGCAAACTGAACGTAAATAATAAGGTAGATGAAAAAGAGAGCTTGAGAAATAATGTACTGAAGTATAAAAGCTGCTATTGAAATGGTTTTAAACATCACAAGTAGGACACCTGCCAGAAAGTCTGCTGGGCTGACAGATGATCCAAATGGAAAAGGACCACTTCAGAGATAAAGCTACAGAAAGAAACCTAAATTAGGTATTTCCACTGAACTCATAATAATGACCAGTACCACATACCCAGGCAAGAGCATAAGAACAGAGCAAGCAAACAGCAATACTTCCCCAGCATTTGCTTCTATCTTCAGCTATCTAAAGCTTAGGGACTTTGTAATATGGATATAACAGACAGCCTCTGCACAATGGCTTTTATTGGATTTTTCTGCTATGAACAGTCTAATTGCTTTTTTTTCCCCTAGTCTTATACACCCAGTATTTCTAGAAGAATGCAACACAAATTGACAAACTGTTGTGGCACATAACTACTGCTGACACCAGCCTTATTATCAAAAGAACGCAGGGAGGAAAATATGACATCAATTTTTATAAAAGGGCCTCAGGGACCCAAAAATTGCAGACTACTAAGTCTGACGTCTGTGCTGAATAGAAGCTATAACAAAGAACAGAATTAGTAAACCACAGAAATAGCTGTTGTGGAAGAGAGCCATGGTGCAGAAACCTCTTACAATCTTCTGAAGGAATCAAAAGGAATCAAGGGTGAGTCTTTAACAGAGTAACTGCATTTGTAAAAGGCCTTTGACAGGTCTCTTTCCCACAGAACTTTGCTTGTAAAGAAATCAAAGTATGATGAAATAAGATGGAAGACCTTCTCTTAATAATCCCTTAATAAATAAGTACTCATTTTCTACACTGACTGGAGTCTGTGATCATAACATACAAGTATCTGTGTTGGGATCCCAGCTGTCCAACCCTTCTAGCTCATTTTTGAATAATACAAAAATAGTCTTCATAGCTGTGCTTAAAAGGGCTGTAAAAAGCTGCAGAAAGAAACCAAGGACACTAAACCAGGCAATCATTGGCAGGAGAGCTCTTCATGAGTGCAAATTTAATGTATAAGGAGTGTCAGTCATAACTTACTGTACATATTCAGTGATAGAACCTAAATATGTTATTAGCACTTGAAAATTCTTAGAGTCAACATGGACAGTTCTTTGAAGATGTTACCTCAGAACTGATCAAGGGGACAAGGAGAATGGTAGGAATGATAAGGAGAGGAATACAACCGCTTTGTGTGGATATCTGTGATATTCCCTCTGCTGGAATACTGCATCCAATCACTCTACCTCAGAGACTTTAGTAGAAATAGAAAAACCATGGGGGAAGGTGGCAAAGTCCCAGAAGTACAGGACAATTTCCAATGGGAGAGATTGAACAAACTCATTTCTTGGCTTGGAAAAGGAGAAGTCATCGACTCAGGATGCCATGAATTCCAAAAGGACATGTGCACTTAAGAGACAAGTCAGTGCACAGGAAAAGCTCCATGAAGCACCACGATCCCATTGCAACTTCTGGCTCAAGAAATGCAAGTTCTCTGGTTGTCACAGACGAGTACTGACTCCATTCGTATGTGTCTTCTTCCAAACATATTGGCTGCAGCTAGAGACAACATACTGGGAAACAAACAAACAAAAAACAGATCTCTGGCCTCGAAAAGCTTTATAGTTGAGTTACAGAGAAGAACATCATGCCTGAAACCAAGCTCTATGTTTTGTTCTCCCTCAAAGCAATTCCATCAGGATTTTTCCAGGAAACATACCTTGTATCTGGCAGCACTCCTCGCCAGCTCAGATCTATATTTTATTTGCCTAGAATGGAGTGTTTATCTTCAATCTAGGATCATCCACAAACCTTAACTACGTTCTTACATCAGCTATCTCTCTACACACACCCCGATTGCAAAAATAAAAAATACAAGACAAGGGACACCATGTAAAATGCAATATATATGAGAAATAAAAGCCTGTCATCTACCTGTATAATAATAAAAATGTCCTAAAATGGACAATATTTTCTTTCAGAAACTATGCAGAGGTTTGAGATAGGGCCTGATAAATTTTATCAAGTTGCTCCAACTTCTCTGTGACTAGAAGTAAGGTGCAAAACCAGCAGTGCTCTGATCTGAACCAGTTTCAAGTTCGCTCGGCCCCTCTGCAGAGGGCTGGAAGGCTGAAATGAGATGATGGTGTCTCAAACTTTGCACACAAATCAATGTTCTTGACTTGGTATCTAACTCAGTCGAATGGGCTGGAAGGCTGAAATGAGATGATGGCGTCTCTGAAACTTTGCAGACTCTTTAGGTACCCCTAAATGTTCTTGACTTAGCATCTAACTCAGTCGAAGTCACTGTGCTGGCCGTGAAGTTGGCTTCAGCTTCAAAACAGACTGGTTAAAACACACACAGACAGCTCTGAGGCAAGAGTATGCACTATCAGCAAAAGCAGAATAATCTTATGGTACTTGAAAATGGACAATATTTTCTTTCAGAAACTATGCAGAGGTTTGGGATAGGGCCTGATAAACTTGATAAAGTTGCTCCAACTTCTCTGTGACTAGAAGTAAGGTGCAAAACCAGCAGTGCTCTGATCTGAACCAGTTTCAAGTTTGCTCGGCCCCTCTGCAGAGGGCTGGAAGGCTGAAATGAGATGATGGTGTCTCAAACTTTGCACACAAATCAATGTTCTTGACTTGGTATCTAACTCAGTCGAATTCACTGTGCTGGCCGTGAAGTTGGCTTCAGCTTCAAAACAGACTGGTTGAAACACAGACAGCTCTGAGGCAAGAGTATGCACTATCAGCAAAAGCAGAATAATCTTATGGTACTTGAAAAACTGCTTCAGGACTGAGGCAAGAGTATGCACTATCAGCAAAGCACAGTAATCTCATGGTACCTGAAAAACTGCTTCAAGATGCTACCCAGCACTACCCCTCTTTCAGGGCAAGGGAAGAGTTAAGGCTTTTTATGGCAGCTGACACTGCCCAGAACCACTAGCAACGGGAAAAGCAAATGCAACAAGCAAATACAGTTGGCAATTCATCCTGGCCACGTGTCTGACTCCAAGATACAAATGTAAACGGAGCAGGATGGGATCCTCCTTTACTGGTATTTCTTCCCTCTTGCCCTCGCAGCAGGGACGAGCC